AGCGCAAAACTGTGAAAATTAGAATAGCAGAAAATCAGAACAAAATTCAAAATCATATATGCATAAATCTTCAAATAATCTGTACAATATTTTCGTATATATTGTGTTCTAGAAATCATCTTTCCAATGGCATAAATGGATCGTGGTTCTACATATCTGCGAGGACATACTAGTTGTATATGCAAGATGCATTATTTCCATGAAAGTTCATCATTAGTGAATTAGTTCTTAAGAAAGGACTGGGGAAAAAGAAAGTGCAAAGAACATAGAATAGTGTGTACCTATCTTCTCTGTACCCTCTTGAAAAAAAGAAACATCATAGCCAAATTAAGAAGTCTAAACATCCTGTAAAATCCATTGGATATATGAACATAGAATAACGATTTGAAGTTTTCCTAAAATTCTTTGGATTCCTTTTGGTCTTCAAAATGATATGCTCCAACCAGCATAAAGTGTCATCCTGCATATAAACATCAGCCAACTGAAACGGTAAGAAACAAAATTTTAACTTCCTAAGAATAACGATTAATAAATAGGTTCACTTTTTAGGCAAAGAAGGGAGATGGTGTAATAAGAAGATGTATTTACTTATAAAAGTGTGGAATCATCACCAGTGAATTCAATATGTCTTAGAGCGACCAATTGCAGTAGTTTCTTAAACTACTCATAAGGGAAAAACAAATAGAAACATTAATTGAAACATTGCTCTTTAGGATAGAACTGTAGCACCCATAGCTTTCTCGTTTATCTTTGTCGGCTACTTATGAATCCAGAATTGGTACTCCTACTTGTACACAAGAATTACATGCAATAAGTTAAATTTAATAATACTAATTAAACATGTAACATCAATTCGCAAGATGAAAATATAAATAAGTATTTTGGTGTAACATAACCATATTTGAAAGACTTTGTTCCTAAATATGAAATAAGAATAGCCTAAATGGCACTTATACTTTTGCCACTTTGTCATGCCGGTCCCCAAACTTATCATTTTGCCAATTGAACACTTACACTCATTCAAATCGTATATAATAAACGCTTATGACAGGAGCTACCGGTGCGTGTAATACATTCTCCTACACGTAGGACGCCACATCATTACTACTGCCATGTAAGAAAATATTGAAAAATTGGATTGGCCACCCTACACAAATACCGAACCCATAGAAAAGAGATACAGTAGGTTCTTTCTTCTAAACCTGAATATATCCAGAAGCTTCAAGCGAGCTTTAATGGGGTCTCTGCTTGTCCCTCCGATTGATCCTCAAACACAAATTTTTATCGCAATTTCAAGTCTAAATTTCAATACCCAACTGAGTTTTAGTGCTATGTAAGCAACAACTTGAGGTTTCAAACCGCTAGATTCGTTCTTTGCAAGACCAACAATGGAATTTCGAAAATTCTCAAGAAACAAGCCTTTGAGTCTCCTCCCCAAAATTCGATTAAAGATCCAAATAGCGAAACACAGCGACAATAACCAAAACAGATCCATTCGTTAACCTAAAGAGTAGTCGGAAACAAACCACCATTCACCTACAAACCTTCTTCACAGCCAACACTCCACCATTGTACCACCAATCAACCACCAAAAAAAGAGCCGACCATAAAAAAATGACTACCCAAAAAGACCAACATCACGCAAAACAATCCGAAATTTTGCTACAGGAAAACGAACCGAAAATAGGTTTCACCGACAATCTTCTTCCACTATTTCTATTTCTTTTCTTTGCAAAGGCTATCTTTCAAAGTAAGGGAATAGGGATGTGAGCCCCAAAAACTATTGCTAATCTGGTAGAGGTTTTGGATTTGTGGTGGATGCAGATGTGAAGGGATTTCTTTTTCTAATTTGATTTTTAGTATTTTTCTTTTCTTTTTATTTTTTTCCTTATTTTTAATCATTAAATTTTTATGTTAACACTCCTTATACGTGTGAAATACACGTATTTGTCCACTTCAGCAATTAAGTTGCCATGTAGACTTGGTCAATGGTCAGAGGGGTTTAAAATATCGACTTTGAACAACTATAAGTGTTTGGACGAAACTTTGTCAAGTATAGGGACCGGGATGACAAACACGAACAAGTACAAGTGTCTACCACGCTATTCTGCCAATATCTAATTATGAATTGAGGTAATATTACACATTCAAATGCAATGAAAATATGGAAAGAAAGTGCAGTAGGCAGCTCCAACGAAGCTAGATGAACCTATCCCTGAACAATGAATATAAGTTTACATTACTTGGTAAAAGACAGAGTAATTTAGACTTGATAACCATATACATGAACATAAGAGAAGTTATAAGCTTCATTTGGTGAGTTAAGACTTCGCAAAAAGCATAATTTGACAGAATTCAGATTATGAGCACTTCATAAGATGATCTTGTTTTCTCCACTATTCCGATAAATAATTCCAAAATAAAGGCCTAAAATTTTAAATGATTCACAAAATATGATAGGAATAGAAATAAAAGATAGAAAAGAAAGGAAGATTAAAATGGAGCATTTGAAAAATAGAAAACACGAGAGGAATAGAAGTGCAGTCGTGTGTACAGTGCAATACCCGTAAACCATTGCAGCATAACACATCCATGTCTTATTTCACCTATATCTGATGTATAATAAAGCATATGTTCACTGGAGTTACATCTTTAAAGTGAAGATGCAAAGAGATAAATACATTTGTATTTAAAAAAAATATATAAAGAGTCCAATTTGTCAACACTTTCAGAAAACACACAATCTGAAAAGTAGTGTATTAAGATTAGAAGCTTTCATTACTTAGAAGTTTTTGTTTGCCGAGTGGTTGTGTCCTATTCTATTTTGTTCTTATTTACTTTTATGCATATTCTGTTTATATAGTAATGGTTAGATATAAGAGACGATTCTAACATAATCTGCTGACAATCTTAGTACTCATCTTTCTGTCACGTGGAATGCAAACATTGTGTTACTATTTTTAGATGATAAATGTGGTTTGATGATTGTATAGTTTCAAGGTGACCGTGATTGATAATTTAAAAATGCAGGGATATCATGGAAGCATACTGCAATGAAATCAAGAGCCTACCAATGATCATCCTATATCAACTGGCAAAGGCTCTAAGGATGGATGAAAAGGAAATGAGACAGCTATTCCGCGATGGTGTGCAGTCAATAAGGATGAATTATCCAATGGAACGGTGGGAACTGAACCTACAAATGTAGGAATCGCCTCAGAAACTCTTTTCCCAGTTGGTTCATCAATCCTAGCACCAAAAGTAGTAAATTAAAAAGAAGATGTATTTATTTATGAAAATGCTGAATCATGAATAGTAAATTCATCGAGTGACCAACTAGATGTTTCTTAACTACTCATAAATAGAACCATAATTGACAAATATTCAGCATTGAGTTTAATAGAACATTTGTATAAATATACAAAGATTCTAAACCTGATATTTGTATATATTGTAGTTCCAGAAGTTATTTTTTCAATGGCACAAGCAGAAAGTGGCTTCAAGATGAACCGATTCAATCAAAAAAGTATTGTTAAAAAATATATGAAGAACAAATAACAAATCCAAATTCGCAACATAAGTAACATAGAAGTAAGACACAATAAGTGATCTGTAATACCTTTTAATCTTGTAGAACTAATTCAATCGAGAAAGTAGTGTTAAAAAAATGTATGAAGAATAGAACAACAAATCCAGATTTTCAACTTAAAAAAACATAGAAGCAAAACAAATTACTAAGAAAAAAGTGATTTGAACATTTTTTAAACTGTTTGTAGAACAAATTGAATCGAGAAAGTAGTGTTAAAATTTATGATGAACAGAGCAATCTATCTAGATTTGCAACTTAAAAAATAGAGAAGCAAAACGAATTAGTAAGAAAAAAAAATTTAATACCTTTTCATCTTGTAGAACCAATTCAATCGAGAAAGTAGTATCTGAATTGTAACGATCTGGGACTTCCTACAGACGAACAACCCAAACTTTCAACTTTCATTGCATTTTCGAAATTGTTATATCCTTGATGAAATCACTATGAGTAGCCAAAAATCCCTATATTTTGTTGAATTGTTGATATACATCTGCCTTTGGTTTAAGTATGGAGTATCAATGGAGGAAACAGAAGTTGACATAGTTAGTTTTGAGCAGTTCCCGATGATTACCGATCGTGCCTAGGTTTAGATAGATTTAGATAAAATCTAAAATTTAGAGTGGGGATATAAATGTGAATTTTTTTAAAATAATAATGAACTAAAAAACGTGTGTATTCACGTTCACATATAAATACAGTTACTTGTTTTGAAAAAAACTTACCTGAAATATTTAGTAAAATATTGAATTTTGTATGAGATTTTCCCCCAAATAAATAGAGGTGTAATAGGATGCTTCAGATGTTTTGCTTCTATAAAAATAAAAATAACTGAAAATTTTAATTAACAAAAGTAGTTTGTAAAAGATGAGATCTAATAGGATGCTTCGGACGTTATGCTTCCTTAAACGAAAAGTAGCAGAAACTTTTAATTAACAAAAGTAGTCTGTAAAAGATTTTTTTCCCAAATAATGTATTAGTTCCTATTTTTTTGGGAGCTATGTCCTAAAGTGCCAAATGTCTTATATTCATGATGCCACTTGTAAAAAAAAAAGGTGCTTCTGCCTCTCCTTTTACTAACAGATAGATTAGCGAAAAGGGCCAAATTTATCCATATATGAGAAAAGGATCAATATTATCCTCGGTAATACTATCGGTACAAATATATCCCTAACTTTACGTAAGTGGTTCAAATATACTCCTCCGTTAGGATTGTTCAAGGTGGACACCCAATCCTACATAGTACTCCCATTTTTGATGAGGTGGACACTGCCACATGTCACGCCACCTAACCGCCCAACCTATTTGACCCTTTTCCCTAGTTATTAAAATGAGATTCGTGGTATTGCAGTCAAAGGGCTGCATAATATGATATGATACTTAATACTCTTGATGGAGGTCTATAAATATGGTCATTCCACAAGCAAGTGAGTCACCAAAATATAATCTACAAAAGTAGTGCAACATGTCTAGCAGCATTTCTCCCATCAAGTTTGCTTTCTTCATTATGTTCTTCAGTGCAAGTATAAGTCAAAACATCTCTCTCTCAATAAATTTTAAAATACAAATAGACTTAGTTTACAGAAATATGCATATGCTCCTTCTTGTAATTATATACTACTAATTGATTTGTTGTGGTCATAATTATGTGCAGTTAATATATCATGGATTCAAGAGATGACAGTGATGGCTCATCGAGATTTGCCTCTAGAAATAGCTATGGTGAAAACAAAACTACTTTCCCTCACAGATTTCATTACTTGTGGGACAGATTGCTCAACTGATAGTGATTGTTCTGACGGCTGGCGTTGTACATATTGCAAATATCAGGATGAAGTAAGTATATTAATCCCAATTCCTATCTACAAGCCTGCTGGCTATTATTGTGAAAGTTAAATCTTTTCTTAAAGATGTTCCCTATGTATAATTAAATCTATGAATGTGACATGTGTGACGGTGTGGGAATTATAATGTTTGTCAAGTAATAAGATTTTGTGTTATTTAATAATTTCTGTATATTTTTCCTTTGAAACTTTAGTGTTTTGAGTGAGAAAGAAATAAATGGAGTTGGAATTAACCTTTGATAGTTTACAACATGTAATATTAGTAATTCACCTTGTGGTTTTCAGTCATTCGTAATAAATATTTATTATTGTCTTTCTTGATGTATTTCTTTGATGACTTCTTTACTTCATCAAAACCAAATATAAGTGTAAAGTATAAAAAATTGAACTTTGAATAACCAACTCCATATATTAAACAAAAAAAAATTGACCCATAAATTGTAGTATCTTTTTTGGTAATTTAAATTTTTATTACCAGGGAAAATATGTACAAGTATAATAGAGACCATTCACTATCATTTTATAGTTGGACATGCAGCCCCAACTATAGAAAGTCCCGGTGTACTAATCAACACCAAATCTAAAGAAAACACAAGAAAACTAGCTAAGGATAGAAGTATAGATTTTGTAGTTTCATTACTAAGCTGGGTTTCAAACTCCCTCAACAATGGACTTCTTGGATTATTAGTCTGACTATGTCCTCATTTTTAAATTGCAATATTTTGAAAAAAAAAAACATAACTTGCATATAAACATAAACTAAATGGAACCCATTCCAGAAAAACTATATATAAGTACAACAATGACACGTATTAAGTATAAAAATTGCAATTTCAAGTTGTGAAACTACATAATAAAAAAAAAAAAAAAAAAAAAAAAAAAAGAAGAGAGAAAAACAAATTGACCCATTGTGGCTTGTTTGTAAAAAATTGTTCACCCATTTGAATAACTTCTTTCCAACTTACTCTTCCAAGTGATGACGATAGTGTTTGATTCAATACCTACAACTACAAAAAGAAGAATCTTTTTTCATGAATCACATCATACATGTTACGCCCCGCAGTATTACGTTGATGTTACGTCCCACAGCATTATATTACGACGATGTTATACCCTGTAGTATACTACAAGATAACGCATTTATAGCTACGAAATCTCGGCAACAAATCTAAATTTTGTGGCTAGTACCTAACAATAGTCACAAAAATTAGAGTTGCGTGGCTTTTTACAAATTCGTAAAATTTCGTAGCCACAAAAATTAAATTGACAAAGCTAATTCCTCCTTTTTGCTATGGTTGCTAATTATTGTGGCAACAATTATCTAAATAGCTATAAATTTATTGCTACGGTATAATTTCGTGGCTAATCATAAGTTTTTGCCACGCATTAAAAGTTATTGTAGCAACAATAATCTTTTAGCTACAATAAATTTTTTGAAACAAACTATTGTAGCTAAAATAAATATTTTTGCTTCTAGTTAGAAAATATCGTGGCAATAGTTGATTTAAAAGCTACGATTATTTGACATAAAGACATGATATAGCCATAGATCTTTTGATATGATAAAATTTTGTAGCTAATCATTAGTTTTTGCTACATGCTAAAACTTACTGTAGCAAAACTAATTTTTAGTCCAATAAATTATTTAAAATAAAATATTGTATCTAAATAAATAATTTAGCTTTAAATTATAAATAAACTGTTGCTATATTTGGCTTAACAATTATTTGTCATAAATGAGATAAACCACATATTTATCACTATGACAAAAATTCATAGCTATTTATAAGTTTTACCACGAGTTGAAACAACTTATTGTGGCAATAATAATATTTTACGACTATTAAATTAGTTGAAACACAATCGTGTAGTTAATGGATAATTTCCTTCAAGTTAGAAAGAAATGCCAAATAGTTGGCTTAATAGTTATAATTTTTTATCAAGAAAAAAATGAATAGTGATTGATTCAAAATATCAATAAACTTTTTATAGTTGACTATAATTATATCATCGCACATTTGAGGTCACCATTGTAAGGTCAAAAATTTTTAAAGTTAGAATATTTTTGCTTCGAGTATGAAATTCATGACAAGACTTGGTCTAGAAATATTCGGTTATGAAAAATTAATTTCATAGACAAATAAGATAATATATATATATATATATATATATATATATATATATAAATTAAAAAATTAATTAAATTTGAAAATACCAAAAATTAAAATGCAAAAAATATCTTCAATCTTAAAATTGAAATTAACAAAGATTAAAATGGATGAAAAATAATCTTCTGTCTTNAATAATCTTCTGTACTTAAAATTGTAATACTAAACAGTATAAAACTATAATGAAAAAAAAAAAGTATAGTAAAATAGCAACATTTTTGCAATGAAAAACAAAATTTATCGTTGGTTTTTATGCTAACTAATAGCAAAAAAATTAGAAATAGAAATTCTTGCTGAAAATACTATTATTCATATTAATTTTTCCGGTTATTACACAAAATACTCTTATAGTATTAATCAGTTTCAGATACATCCGTTGTATTTTAAATTTAAACTTATATCCGATATATTATTTGTCACGACCCGGATTTTCCACCCTCGGGAGTCGTGATGGCGCCTACTGATAGGAGCTAGGCAAGCCAACTCGATTTACTTCTTTTAGCAATTATCGTCTATTTAATGAAAACAAAACATAATATGATAAAGCGGAAGTCTCAAATATAATTAACCGAAAGAAATTCGGAAATTTAACAAAATCCTCTACCCAAGACTGGTGTCACAGTACTCACGAACGACTAGAGAATACTAGATACAAGGTTTGAATGAAACATAGAACTGTCTGCTTCGGTACAAATGATAACAAACTGAATAAAATAGAAAGGGACTCCGGGCCTGCGGACGTCAGCAGGGCTACCTCAAATGTCCCTGGACTGAAAGCTCGCTCCCAGAATGCTACTGCTACTCAAATGCTGCTCCAACACCTGGATCTGTGCAAAAAGATGCACAGAGTGTAGCATCAGCACAACCGACCCCGTGTGCTGGTAAGTGACTGGCCTAACCTCGGCGAAGTAGTGACGAGGCTAGACCAGACTACCAAATAAACATGTGCAGATATATATACAAGTACAACAAAATAATAGCGGAAAGTAAATAATTAAAATTGGGAGGGGAACATGCTTATGGGGTAGCAGATAAAACGGAATATCAGGAATAACAAAAGAAACTACATCTGATTTCTTCTAACACAGAATAAGGGAAAACAAACCACTTTCACTTGTTTCAATTTCCTCTCGTTGCAGGCATGCAACTCGATCCCATTTCTCATAATATCACGGTAGGCGTACCACTCGATCCCATTTCATAATATCACGTGGTAGGCGTACCACTCGATCCTATTTCACAATATCACGTGGTAGGCGTACCACTCGCTCCCATTTCATAATATCACGTGGTAGGCTTACCACTCGCTCCCATTTCATAATATCACGTGGTAGGCGTACCACTCGCTTCCATTTTATAGTATCACGTGGTAGGCGTACCACTCGCTCCCATTTTATAGTATCACGTGGTAGGCGTACCACTCGCTTCCATTTTATAGTATCACGTGGTAGGCGTACCACTCGCTCCCATTTTATAGTATCACGTGGTAGGCGTACCACTCGCTCCCATTTCATAATATCTCGTGGTCGGCGTGCCACACGATCCCATTTCATAATATCTCGCGGTCGGCGTACCACACGATCCCATTTCTTTCAACACAATACACAAAATAATCCCGGCAAGGGAGAATGATGTTATAATAAACTATCCCGGCAAGGGAACAAGATAATATAATAAACTATCCCGGCAAGGGAACAAGATAATATAATAAACTATTCCGGCAAGGGAACAAGATAATATAATAAACTATCCCGGCAAGGGAGATCCAGCTATAACCAAACTGACTCAATTTCTACTTAACACAATTAAATCAATACTCAGTCTCATCAATTACTGGCTCAGTGTTAAAGATTTCCAACCAAGTCCTCATAAACAACAATTAAGAATTCGATAATATAGCAATTCAGGACTCACGGTCATGCTCGACACCAGTGTATAGATACTCGTCACCATGCCTATACACCGTACTCGACAAATAGCAATTAGCAAATAAGACTCTACTCCTATTCCCTCAAGCCAAAGTTAGACCAAACACTTACCTCAACTTCCACGGCTAAATCAATCCACAACGACCGCTTTCCCTCTCGAATTCGGCTCCAACTCAATCAAATCTATGAAATAACGACTTTACAACATTAATATAAGCTAAACAAATCAAACCCAATGCCTAAATATAATTTTCTAAGCCTTCTTCCCAAAATTCCAAAAATCGACCCCGGGCCCGCTTGGTCAAAACACGAGGTTCGGACCAAATTCATATCACCCATTCCCCCACGAGCCTAGATATATAATTTGTTTTCAAATTCGACCCCAAAACGAGCTCTAAATCAAAGAAAATTGAAAAGCCCTAACTCTACCCATTTTCCCCAATTTCAATCCTAGATTACATGATTTGAGCTTAGGAATTTGATAAATGATGATGGAAAATGAAGGAGACAAGTTAAACAATACTTACCCAAGAAGCTTTGATGAAGAAATGCCCTAACAATCGCCTAGAAGCTTTGGAGAAGAAAGGGTTCGTGTATTTTTTGAATAAAACCCGACACTGTTCCATTTTTATGACTTAAAAATCGCTGGGTGAAATTACCCTATGCGCTCGCGACAGTAGGGTCGCGTTCGCGAAGGGCAGAAATTGACAACCATCGCGTTCGCGAGTGGAGAAGTGCGAACGCAAAGAGGAAAAATTCTGGGGTCCAAAGTTTGGCCTACGCGAACGCGTGAGGCCTTACGCGAACGCGCTGAAGGGGGACCGTAGACTTACGCGAACGCGAGTACAGTTACGCGAACGCGAAGGAGGAGAATCTAAGGCTTCGCGAACGCGGGAGAGAGGGCGCGAACGCGAAGAAGGAAATGCCTGGGCACCTATTGCAGAATTTCTGCAACTTTTTTCTAAGTTCTAAAACTTCCCGGAACACCTCTGAAACACTCCCGAGCCCTCGGGGCTCCTAACCAAACACACACACTAACTCGACAATATCCTACGAACTTCAACGTGCGATCAAATCGCCAAAATAACACCAAAAACGAGGAATCAAACCTCAAAATCATCACTTTTTCATCAAACTTCATAAACTTTCATTTTTAGATATTTAGGTCCGAAACACGTCAAATGACGTCCGATTTCAACCAAATTTCACAGAAAGCG